CTCCACAACTAGACTGAAGAACAAAAGGACAGCAACTTGTCTGTTCCTCTTCCCCCAATTCCCCAGCGCTGTTCCCATCCCCCAATTCCCCAATTTAAAAAAAAAATAGTATTATGCTCTCTCACATTCATAAACAACATACCAGAACTGATTTCAAATTAAAAACAAAAATAAAAAACAACACACACTCATACACATACATTTTCTTTACTAACCAATGAAACAAAAAATAAGAAAACACATCCCATAAATGAATAACTTATTCCATTAGGAAATACTTCATTCTACAATCGATTTGCACTCGTTTTCCATCAATTTCATCAGCTTGTTTTTTTTCACTTCTGTTTGGGTGCAAAGTCCCATAATAAACAATAAGAAAAATAATTCCAAGGAGAAGAGCAAGAGCTATAATAATACTGATAGGTATAAAATAGTCCGAATTAAAAACAGAAAGTGGGTAAACCCAGAACACAATCAATATCCCCAATGTGGTCAGTACCCTTATGGTATAATAACAAGACATTGGACATTTGGTATTCTGTCCCTTAATATTAAAAAATGTAAAGGTAAGAATGAACCCTACAACAACCCTGTATAAGAATTCCATACTGATGGAAGCACAAAACTGAGTTTGGTTTTTAAATGCCCACACTACACCTAAAAACCAAAGACATAACAACAGAAATAAAACAATCTTAACATTTAAGAATAAAAGAAGTACAACACTCAGCATCCAAGATAATAATGTAAACAACTTGTAAAAGAGATATATAAGTTTGGGACAGAATCCATTAAAGGAATTTTTATCAGGCAAGGATTTTCTTAAAGCTACTTGATAATCAACAGTCGACCAAGAAATAGCACAGCAAGAGACCCCAATGGCTGCACCTACAAAACAAAAAATTTTTAAAGGTATATTCTTATAGGAATAGCAATAGCAAAATTAAATTACTATATACCATGCATGCTTTATCTGTACGAGGTCTGACAATTAAGTTCGTGACCTTATTTCAAGGATGTTGCTAACCTTTTTTTGACATCAGAGGGATTATTCATTATGAATTTGTACCAACTGGACAAACAGTTANAAAAAAAAACAGACTAATCACAGTAATCTTCATATTCTTGGAGAGTGCAAAAAAGTTATAACCACAATTTTTAAAAAAGCACTTTCATCCATAGGCCTCCAGGAAAACAAAAATCACTCTCTGCAGTGGTGATAGACCAATTAAGCAAAAGGTATTTACTAAGCCTTATTTTAGCAGGGCTGAACAGAGACAGCGCTCAGAAGTACACATTGATGGATTGATTCATTGCTCCAAAGAGGAATCAGATGACTTTCCTAGTGGTATATGGAATAAAATATACTCGATTCACTTTCCAGGGGTTCAGTAAAAGTAACAGTACTCAGCAGCTATTGGAAGCCCCTGGAAACTCTATGCAATGTTACTTTGAGGAACTCAGAAATACAATCTCTGATCTATGTAAGTTTATCTTCTAGTTAGCAAGACATACTGGATACAAAACAAAAACTATAAGTAAAACCATCATTTAATCTTAAAATAACCATAGCTAAGGGGTTCTGAGGTCCAGAAAAAAAATAAGAGAAATACTTACCAATAAATATTTAATGAAATCCTAATAGTCACGTACCTGCATACACAAATACACACACATATTCATGCATACTTCCAAAGGGCAGAAAATTATTTGCAATTTAGGCCTGAATTCTGATCTCATTACTAACTAGTTGTGTTCAGCAGCCTCTGTGGATTAGACTTTTTACATGTCAGGAACAATACAAACCACACAAGAGTCTAATGAAAAAATAAGATGTTATATATAAAAGGATTAAACTTCTTTGCCATAGAATTCCAAATTTTTCACATGAGTATTGCTATTTTATACACATGGAAGCAATTTTTTAAAAATATGGCATCAAAACCAAGTTCAAAATATACTGCATACTGATGAAAGAATAGAAAAACAGAAAATTTCTGGGATAGTTACAATCTAGAAAACACTATCACATGTAATATCTCTGATTTTTCTGATTTTTCACAACAGCCCAGGGAGATGGTTGTTGCTGCTGTTATGTAATTCTCACTCTATATATACAGAAACTGAGATTTAGAGAGATTAAATGACTCACGAAGGATGTCCAGGTAATAATGTCAAGGCAAGGAATCAAACAAAGGCCTTTAGACTTTCAAATCAAAATTTCTACATACAGTGAAATATAAAGCAATGGCTGGTTCAAACCAAGAACTCAGAAAGGTATCCGCATCTATATACCAACTATCAAAAGGAAATTTTTAAAGAGCAATTAACAGCAGCAGGAAAGGCAGCTTTCAAATTCTGTGCCAGGTTAAGCAAAAAGAAAATGTAGCAGTATCCCTGTAAACTACATATTTTTATTTTTCTCTAGTCCTTTCTCCCATCAAAATAATATGTCTTGGAAAAAGAAATTACAAATTCCCTACACTCTGTGGGTCTTCGTATTCTGTAAATTGAGGTTTGATATACATTGTTTAATATTTTTGGAAAGTACTTAGTTAGGCCTAACTTTCCCAAAATAAAAGTTGCATGTCTCAAAGCAATAAATACCACTTAAATGTAGAATTTTTTCCATAACAAACTGAACCTATTTTCAAAATGTAGTCTCTTTGGGAAACCACAAATGGTTCATGTTAACCCCAAAGACTATTAAGTATAGGTGCAAATGTCCATTTGGAAAAATCCAAGTTTCAATGAATTGTGATCATGAAATGGGTATCAGCCCGAGTTGGAGATGCATGATACATCTCTGACCCCCCCCAGTCGTAAGGACAAGCTTTGACTAATATGACAACTGAGAATGAGCCTCACGATAATTGTACAGGAAATTAATGTTTGACTTTGGTATTCTTGTGGCTTGTAGCAATGCTGTAGTTGATCACACAACCCAGGGAACCGATGAAGCATGATATCCAATTTGTCTGTGGTTCCATCGCCCTCTAGTGGCTATTTTGAAACTAGTTTTTAACAGTGGTATTAGCCTTCCCTTCATTCTCCAAGCAGGGTGGGCAGACCAGCACCATCAGCACATGGCAGAACTCCTTAGACATACAGATTTCATGCCCCGCCTAAGACCTACTGAAAAGAAACTTTGGATGGTGCCCAGAAATCTAATAGACCTTCTAAGTGATTCTGATGCACACTAACATTTGAAAACCACCAGTCTAAGGAAAGTATTCTATTTGTATTTCACATAGATATGAAAGTACGTAGGTGCATGTGAGGGTTAATGTCATGTGTCAACTTGACTGCGCTAAGGGATGCCCAGATGGCTAGTAAAACATCATTTCTGGGTGTGCCGGTGAGAGTGATTCTTCTCAAAGAGATCAGCATTTGAATTGATGATCTGAGTAAAGCAAATGTCTCAAATGTGGGTGGTATCAGCCAATCTGTAGAGGGCCTAAAGAAGAACAAAAAAGCAGACAAAGAGCTAAATCGCTCTCTCTGCTTAAACTAAGGCATTCATCTTCTCCTGCCCTCAAACATCCATGCTCCTGATTCTCAAGCTTTCGGACTCAGATCAGGACGCACATCATTAGTCTCACAATTCCCAGGCCTTCAGACTTGGACTGAATTATACCACGGGTTTTCATAGTTCTCCAGCTTGCAAAGAATAGATCATGGGACTTTTCGACCTCGTTAACCACGTGAGCCAATTCCTATAATAAATGTCATCTTTTACATATCTATATATTGGTTCTGAGTTTCTCTGGAGAACCCTGACTAGTAGAGTGTATATGAGTGTTTTTTATCAAAGTATTGCTCATAATTATTCCCACGCTTTTACTAAATTTCAAAAGCTCTTTGATATGTGCAGAATAATCTAGAAAAAAGCTTACAATTAATTGGGGAAATTTAAAAGTGCAATATATCCGTGACAATGATGTACAAAACACCAGGATAAAATGAATAAATTCATTAGATATTAAACATTCATTTTCTGAGCTTGTTAACTTGCCAAAACACCTGAATAGAACCTACCCATTTGTTTCTTGGCTATAAAATCAATGGGAAAATGTTTGTTGAATGGAATGACTATTCGATCCAGGTTTGTGTAGGGCATTTAATATTTAAGCTCTTTAGTAGATGTATATTGTTTTCTAACCACTTTTTTCCATTGCTACTTCCCATGTTCATTATAACATTATTATAACATTATTATATCACAATAGTCAAGAGGTGGAAGCAACCAATAACAGATAAACAGAGCAAATGTGGCATATAAATACAATGGAATATTATTCAGCCTTAAAAAAGAAAGAAATCCTGTCACATGCTACAACATGGATGAACCTTGAGGACATCACAAGTGAAATAAACCAGTCACAAAAAAGACAAACGCTATATGATTCCACTAATATGTGGTATCTCACGTAGTCAAATTTATAGCATC